AGACCCTTGCGACGCTCCCCCCCCCACGGAGCCAGTGGGCGAAATCGCGGCCTTCACTCCATAAGACATACAGACTTCCCCCCCACTTTTTTTTGGGGGGGAAGGGCATCTTATGGAGCAAAAAATACGATAGCTTCACTCAGTCAGACTGAAGGCCATATTAATTATCTATTTCCAGCTGATTTTATAGAACAGCCATACCTTTAAACAAATCAACAGGCTCTCTATAAATAGAACTGAAATCTCCAAATCTTTCTGTTCCAAAATTCACAAATATTTCCACCAAACCCTTATAAAACCTGAAAGTGTTGTGCCTAAAATTAAAAAAGCATGAAAGAAGAATAGACAGAAAATACGAAAAAGAAAAAGTATTTTTATGAAATGTTTTTGTGCATAACCGATGGCTTACTTTTGTTTTACTTTTTCTAATAAATATTTTAAATAGTGGTTCCTCAGACATAGGACCCATTAGTTGTGATGAACTACGGTTTACCATAGTGGGAATTAGTCTGTCCTGCATGAGTTCCTTCTGCTCTGGTATGACAATGAAGTAATCCGTGTCCAGTCAACCAAAATACAGTGTATCATCCAAAACTTAACTATGTTCAATCTAGCCATGGGTAGACACTATTTTCAATAATTGCATTTTGAAGTTGGCTTGTTTCTAGCAAATCATAATTAACATTAACCAGGGTGTGTTGAATTTAGAATCCAAATGGAAGCAAACTCCTCCTTGTGACTATTTCAGGTGAAGATATGAAGCAGGGGAAAGAGATTACCCAAGCTTGAGGCATGCCTAGGTTAGTTCCCATAATAATGAGCCACAGTTTATCATGATATCCGTAGACAGCCCTGTGTTCACTATGGCTTGTTCCAAAGTAAGTGGAATAGGATTGCACATTAAATCCATATTAACAGCACAAACCTAGACCTGCTTTCTCAGACATACATCCCACTGTATTCAATAGGGCTTACTCCCAAGTAAGTACTGAGAAAACTGTAGCCTGGGATTTTAGTTTTGTTCTTGAAAGGGGAAATAATACATCATCTTTCCTCACAGCTGTATTTCAAGATTGTTGCTGCTTATGAGGACATTGTAACAGTTATTTTTGGATGTAATGCTAACATTTTCTTTATTCCCTGGCAGATTATCCGATTAATTCTTCCATGCATGCCAGCACTTCAGCACCTACTGACATTCCGGCAAAAATCTCTCAAGTTCCTGCAGACACCACCTCTAGTCCAATAGGTGACAAACCTACACACATTTAAGAGCAATCTTAGCAATGCATGCATGCATATAGCTTTGAATGCTGCCCACATTTGTTTGATCGTTTTCCTGTGCGAGTGTTACAGAAACAAATGAGACTCATGCAAGACCTTAAGATTCTGAAGTCCAACTCCAGTCCCAGAATCTGGTCTAACAGCCAGGACTCACACCTGATATATGAAGAAATGGGATACTGACGCATCTTCACTGGTTTCTTCTATTAAAGAATTATCATTAACAAAGGCGGCACTCAGAGATAGTGTCCTAAAGTTGGGAACCACCACCAAAAAAGGCCATTTGCTATCAATTTCAACCCCTATCTAGTTGAGTACTCCAGATTAGCTCCCATAAAAGATAAAGTCCCAACCATCATATTTGGCAACTTAAGCCTTGGTTATAGAATTCAATGCTTTTCATTGAGGTCTAATTTTATTTCAGTAATACTTCCACAGGAAGTCTTTCTTACGGAACAGGCATAAAAGTGGTACATTTTGAGTATAATTTGTAATTTTGAATGACTGCAAATATAAGTATGTTCGAAAGATGCCACTGCACTGAGATGATGCCTGGCCAGAACAGAGGCTGTACTCTAAGATAATCCCAAACATCCATAGGGTCCAGCTTGGCACATGGTCCCCATTGGCTATGATATCTTGACAGAAAACCATGCATCAAATTGGAAAAGCTTCAACTTGTCCTAGGCCAGTGGTGCAAACCATTGACAAGGCCACTTGTGCCTGCTGGGTGACAAATGGTAACAAAACCTCAGCAAAAGCCACACATGGGGGCAAACTGAATTCTGCACTTTAAATCTGTCACATGTTTGTTAGCGTCTGATCCCATTTACTGGGCCTAGGATCCAAATCATATCACTCCTACCAAGTTCTAAATCGTCATCATCATTGTTATCAGTTTTTATAATGCATTTATTTATTCTTTCGCTCAGTATCTGTCCTGCCTTTATTAGTTCACATAATTCTAATAGTTCACCTAATTTACAAAATGTTTGTTGACCAGTTAACCTGTTTACATTTAAATGCCAAGAAGAAACAACAGGTCACCCAGAGTACAGTCGTCAGAGTTCTGATGTTTTGTCTGTCTGTATGTCAATATACTGTATATATAAAAACTAAGGCTAATATTGAGCATTGCTTAATTCTTCTGTTCAGGATATGTACAACAAATAATCTCTTTGTTTATCTTTTTAAACAGCAGACATTCCTCGCAGAAACTGCAGTAAGTATGCATTCTGCCTCCAAAGACTGAATGTTGTTTTTTCCAGTAGGAAAAGACATCTACTAATTTTATTAAAGGCTTTATTAATTCTTTGGTTGATTGTTCCATTAAGTCTCAGTAACCATCTAAATGCATAAGGAAATAAACATGTCATACGATTTAGTCAGGATGAATAAAAATGGCATGACTGAAAATAAATAAGGAAGGACATTTCTGCAAACCAGAAGCAGGTACAGGGATTATATGCATGTGTGAATTATTCACACAAGACATATCCCTGTGTTTGCATACATATCAGCAAAAAAATTAGAGTGCAAAAGTCCCATCAAAGTCTCATTTATTTCTATGGACTGACTATTATTTGTTAATGAATGAATTTATTTGTTACGGTCAGGTGATCAGCTCATAAAGCATATTATATGGCTAAAATATACAAAATGCAATTTCAAAAGTGTACAATCGTTACTTGATAATTATGATTCTCATGTCTTTTCCTGAGCCAAAGAACTGTTTCAAAATCTCATTTTCCTGTGGTAGGATTAGGAGACAGACAGTGGATTACTTTGACATGGTTCCATTTTAGCATAAGATACCATACATTTGCATTATATCCTCAGTAATATGACAGAATCTATTTATTTATTTTTAGTATTTCTAAACATTTATTTATTCATAGTACCTGCATTTCTGTGCAGGCAGTTCTGAAAAACCAAACAAATTAAATGAATGGACCCCATCTGGATGTTCTTCAAGTAATTTAATGAGTAATAAATGAGCAGTATGAATTGTTTCAATTGTTGTTACTCTCATTAATACCTCCTTGAGACTGTGGGCCTTACTTTTGGGCCTTACTTTGCCCAGCAGTGTTTGTGACAGCTGCTTTTGTCACTTGTTCTTTGTGACTACCATTTCCCCTCAGAATGACAGGGATGTTGCACTGTTCTGGCACATTCTGTGGTAAAACAGAGAATTCCCAATTTTATGTTTGTGGTGACTGCTTCCTCTTTCCATTCCAACCTTCCCTTGCTGAATGCATTGGAACAATGCCAAATCTGAGATGGAGAGGTTCAAGTACTGGTCACCTGGAGATGACCACCAAAATTAGTGACAGGAAAGAGCCCTAAACGTAATTGAATGACAGATAACAAAATGGGCTAGAATTTAAACGAAATCAAATTAAATCATGGATTTGTTTTCATTTAAAGAGGATGGGGAGTTTGCTCACTTCCCACTTCCTATCCAGGACAGTGTGTTTCATCTTTACCATTGACTTCCAGTAACCTTTTTCTACTGTCATCTGGCATCAGAACATAGTTGATTTTGATAAACAGCAAATGACCCCAAGAAAAAGGCATTCCACCTTGCTATATTTGTGCTCCTGACGTCACATCTCAACATGAGTACTGTACTCGTCTTTCATCACAGTCTGCACTTACACAACAACTGAAAAATAGCTTCTGAATTTCTGAAGCTACCCAAAAAAAGCATTGTGTATTGCAGAATGGAAACATTATGTTTCCATGCTGCCACTGAGCTCATTAAGACTATATGTTGTGTCCGGTGGTGTCATTCTGCTACCACAAAGATACGACTCCTCCTGTTTTCCTCAAACGCAGTAGGTTTTGTTTCTGCTATTTGTGCTAGTCATCATGCCACATGCAACTGTTGAGCAATTGCTAGCAGAGCAACACCAAATCTGGTAAATTTTTCACTAGCCAAATAGCTGTTATACACGAGCCTTCTTGTTTCAGTCAGCTTATTCGTATATGAAAGTTTGTTTCATTGGCCCAAATGCTCTTTCACTTTAAAAGTACCTTTATCACCCTCTCCCTTTGGTTGAACAACCAAACATCTGCAAGAATAACAATGGAGGGGAACAAAGTCAGTTCCACAGACAAAAGCAGGAGCATGTTATCTTGAAGCCAACTGGTAGAACTGTCTAGACCAGACTCATTAATTCAGTGTGATTTATAGAAATGTGAACTCAAGAATTGAATTATTGACCAAATCGTCTTGTGCACTTGTACAAACAGAAAGGAAATGATGTGATTTGCAGGGGGCAAATTGTACATTAATTAATGAGACCCTGCCTGGATTATTGGTCATGTGCCATTGATGTGTAGTGCCACTGTGCATTAACACCATCTTATGCCTGCATAACTGCGATTTTGGCCAACAGTTCATTTTAGTTAGGACTATCAATTGGAGTTAGTTCTTTAAAAATAACTGTGGAATCAACCTGTGAATAATTATGTTTCAGAGTAAGAAGTGCTTCAACATTTCTTTCTTTTTCCTATCTTAGGCATTATTAATATCTCAATAGATCATTTTAAGTATGCTGATGGCAATGTTAGTGCAAAACTTCATGTGATGGGAGCTAAAGATCTGCAAAACGTTTACTGCAAATCATCACAGCATCTTGATTGTGTTTGGGAAAGTGGCTCAAACAATCTAGATAACCTTCAAGAATGTGAAATGTACAAAGTAGAAGCACAGTTTAATGGCTGCAAAAAACAAGTAAACATCACAGTCCCTCCTGGTAAGCACAGATTTATATTTATCAGAGCAAAATCTGGATTATGGTGGTTCTGCAAAGTATCTGAACCATAGCACTGAAATACTGGGGGAATCTACTAAATACAGTAATTATGTTGGGGACCATTTTGTCTGAAATCCTGTTGCTTAGCATAGTTAAGCCCCCTAGAGTAGACCCACTGAATCAATGGAGATTTGATTAGTCACTTCCTCTGAAAGTTCTATTTATTCAAATGAGCCTACTTTAGTTGTGACTTACAACTAAAATAAGTCACAAATAGAGTAAGTCCATTTGAATCAATTGAACTTTTACAAGAGCTGACTCACGAAATCCCCACTGATTCAGTGGACCTACTCTAGTGTCACTTACTATGCTAAGCAACAAGATTTCAGCCTTTTTGTGCATCTTAAGTAATCTACACTGATTTCCTGTGTTTATTAGCGTTTTGCCCCTGAAGCATGATGAGTATTTACCTGTATTTTCCTGGCATTCTGGTGATGCACAAAACAGCTCATTAATATCATGCAACATGCATTCTTTTCAAGAATGGAACAATAATAATGAGGACAACAGTGTGGCTGCTACAAAATAATGAATGACGCAGTTTGTTCTTTTTAGAAAATATGTAACTGTCCAGGCTTTAAGAACAACTATCCCCAGATGAGAGGAGAATGTGGACAATCTGGTACTTACCTACTATGAAGCTGTTGAAACGGGGGGTGGACCCTCAAAAGAAATGAGGTGGCTACACTAATCCAACCACTATCTGTCATTAAATAGCAGAAACTCCAATCCAGACATATAAGAGTTAAGCACGTAGAGTCCTCAGCTCTAGAATAGATTCATCAAATGAAGCTGCTCAGCCCTGTTGCCTGTTCTTATGTGTGGCCCTCACTTCATGGGATTTATGTGTGAAGGAGGTTCCCCCCAAAGCATGATGTTAGGGCACATCATTTTTACACAGAAATAATGTTCATATAGAAAAACTGTCATAAGCAAAGTTGTGTCCCGTTTCCTCTGTGCAAATCTAGATGAAGTGAATTCACTAGATTTCTTGTAATACCAGTTTTTGAGTCGAAACAGTTTTTCTCTCTTTCCACTAGGATCTGTTAATCATGTAAAATATATACAATCACGTGAAAATGAAAGCATACCCTCTTTGAATTCTAAGGTTTTATGTATCAGGTCATCATAAAAATCATCTGGTCCTTAGCAGGTCTGAAAATTAGGTTAATAAACCTCTGATGAACAACGTGTGACATATTACACCATTCCATGATTTATTTGACAAAAATAAAGCCAACATGGAGAAACTGTGTGTGAAAAATTAAGTACACCTTACGATTCAATAGCTTGTAGAACCACCTTCAGCAGCAATAACTTGAAGTAATAATTTTTTTTGTATAACATTATCAGTCTCACATCGCTTTGGAGGAATTTTGGCCCACTCTTCTTTGCAACGCTGCTTCAGTTTATTGAGTGTTTGCGGGCATTTGTTTATGAACACCTCTTGTAAGTTTCTGCCACAGCATTTCAATTGGGTTGAGGACTGGACTTTGACTGCGCCATTGCAACACCTTGATTCTTTTCTCTTTTTTTCAGCCATTACTGGTATGCTTGGGATCATTGTCCTCTTGCATGACCCAATTTCAGCCAAGCTTTAGCTGTTAGACACATGGTCTTACATTTGACTGTAGAATACTTTGGTATACAGAGAAGTTCATGACTGATTCAACGACTGCAGGGTGCCCAGGTCCTGTGGCTGCAAAACAAGCCCAGATCATCACCCTGTCCACCACCATGCTTAACAGTTGGCATGAATTGTTTGTGCTGATATGCTGTGTTTGGTTTTCACAAAATATGACGTGTACATTGTGGCCAGACATGTCCACTTTGGTCTCGTCTGTCCAAAGGACAATGTTCCAGAAATCTTGTGGTTTGTCCAGATGAAACTTTGCAAACCTAAGTCATGATGTCATCTTTTTAGAGAGAAGATTTATTCTCCTGGCAACCCTTCCAAACAAACCATACTTGTTCAGTCTCTGTCTAATTGTACTGCCATGAACTTCAATATTTCACATGCTAACTGAGGCCTGTAGAGTCTGAGATGTAGCTTTTGGTTTTTTATAATTTGTTTCACATGGCCGTAGGTGGACACTAATAAATGTCCTGGGTGACTGAGTAGGCCAGTGTTGTAAAATTGGGAACCCTCTGTGGGATATAGAAATACGTAAATTTGCCCACCATTTTTCAGAAAAGTGAATAACTAACCCTGAAATGATTTTTTTCATTTTTCAGTTGGAAGCAGTTTGACTGAATATAACAAAAGTGACACCAGTGTGACTTTATCCTGGGAACTGAGAAATCCGCCGTGTTCTTCTTTCAAGTATTCCTATTGCTGTTATCCGCGCAGTAAGATTTCTTACAAACTATTTAGATTTTTTTCTTAATTTGATGGAAAATTAAATGCATTTGGGAGCTTTGGGTTCTATTCAATCCTATATGTGAATATAGACAGAGATGAGGTGGGAGAGAAAAGTTTTTGAGAAAAATATAATAAATATAGAAATATATGAATTGCAGTTGTCCATTGCAAGCCAGAATACACACTTCTTTTTAAATATTTATTTAAACATTAGCATAGCTGCAGACTTTCCTTCTCTGGTGTAGAGGATATTAACCTCCTGAATGCATAAAGTACATGGTAATGACATATTTCATTTTTTTGCAGAGATGACTAACAATTGTAGCAGCAGAGTGCAGGAGAACAGGCAAACGGTGGAAAATTTGTCTCCCAATAAAAAATATAATTGTACATCAAAAATATTTTTTAAAAATGAAGAAGTGCATAACAAAACCATCAAGATAAAAACAGATTTCGGAGGTGAGTTTAATGCAATTTTCCTGTTTTACCGGTTACTACATTCTCTTTCGTGGTGGCGCTGTGGATTAAACTGCAGAAGCCTCTGTGCTGTAAGGTCTGTAGCTCTTCAGCTGTAAGATCAAATCCACGTGACAGAGTGAGCTCCCGCCAACCTAGAAGTTTGAAAGCATGTAAATGTGAGTAGATAAATAGGGACCACCTGGGTGGGAAGGTAACAGCGTTCCGTGTCTAAGTCGCACTGGCCATAGGACCACGGAAGATTGTCTTCAGACAAACACTGGCTCTATGGCTTGGAAACAGGTATGAGCATCGCCCCCTAGAGTCGAACACGACTGGACAAAAATTGTCAAGGGGAACCTTTACCTTTACCTTACATTCTCTTTCATCTCCAAACCCGAATCTTCACCACAAGGAAGGACATGTGTGAACACATCTATAACTAAAAGGGCACTTTTTGGATTGTTTGTATTATTGCAGGGGAGGGTAGCATCCGAGCTATGTGCGGAATGTAGGCCACGGAGATTCCCTGTTTTGGCCTATAGAGGCTGCTGGCCAAGCTCCACCCCCTTGCCCAAGTCTTGCTCTCTCACTCCTCTCAGTCGGAAAGGTGTCCCTTTATAGTTCCCCATCTCAGTGACAGATTATAATCTTGGATCCAGTGCTGGTTCCACGTTTTGGTGGTGTCCTCAGTGGCTTCCCTTGGTGTCCCAGAGGGCCAGGGGCACAAAATCTGTTGCTCAGTCTCCTCACTTTGGTCAGTGTTTATGCATTTGGAGCTGGGCTAAAAAGGCACGAGCTGTTGGCTTTTCTTTGCGAATGGTTCACATTGACGGGAGAAGGGTACAAAGCCAGACCGGGCTCACAGCATAACAAAGAGAGAGTTTTCAGCATTTGACCCTGCCATGGTTCCAACCAGAATCCATTATCACAAACACCCTTTGCTCAATCAACTGTGTACAATCAAAGGGAAGCACCCACGGCTGTCTTGAGGAGTGTGCTCCTATTAGACATAGCAGGCATGTTCTGACCTAGTGGCCATGTTGACTAATGAATTGTGGGAGCTATAGTCTAAAATCCATTTCCCCCCACACACATAGTGGGCATGGGTCAGAGTGGTGGTGGGAATTTGAGTCAGGAATGTGGCAGCTTATTTTTTTTCTCCCTCCCCCCCCCCTGCACAATTCAGTTCCTCTCCTCTCACATGCCATTTTTCCCCTCAAGGTGGAATAGGTACATCAGGCCAACAGTAAAGGTAATGTGCAGTTTAACCCTCAGAGAGCAACTGCACTACTAGAGACAGCAGTGAAGAAAGGCAGCAGGGCCTTCCGACTCTAGAAACTGATAACGGGCACCTGCTTAGTGGTGAACCTTAGCAGGTGCTTGATATGGGCCTTTCTGGGCTCTAAGTTTTATATTAAGAAATAAATCAAGTGTTGCATTTCTGATTTTTTTTTATTCTCAAGAGAACTGTATCAGTGGAGCCAGGGGAATAAGTACAAAGTAGAAATGCTTCATATTGCATAAACAGAACACTGCTAATAATACAAGGCGGAGCACATTCATCCTTTAGATACCTCAGACTTCTTCCCCTAGAAGACCAGGTCAGCATGACCAGTTGTAAAGGATTAGGAGAATTCTAAAACTGACTGGAGTTAAGTATCAGGTTACAGAGACAACAGGAGTTTGATTCCCCACTGGGTCCTGGCAGAAAGAGTCAGCCTGTGTAATTTGGGGCACGCCACACAGTTCCGAAGCACTCCCAGAAGAAAATGGTAAACCATTTCTGAGTGCTTTATATTGAGAAAACTGTGGGACAAGCCATCATAAGTCAGAACTGACCTGATGGTAAGTAATCACCATATTTTTCCATGTATAAGACTATACTTTTGTCTAAAATCTTTAGACTAAAAATTGAGGGTCGTCTTATACATGGAAGTAAGCTGAGGAGAGAACAAAAACAAGTGGAGAGGACAGAAGGGATCAAAGTGATTCTGCAGCGCTTTTATCCCTTTCTCCCTACACTTGGTAAATGGTAAACCATTTCTGAGTGCTTTATATTGAGAAAACTGGGACAAGCCATCATAAGTCACAACTGACCTGATGGTAAGTAATTAAGTCAAGTTCAAAACATCTAAAAGGCAGAAGGAGTACGGACTGCTGCTTCAGAGCAAACAAATATGGGAAGAAAAATCTTTTTGCCATTAGAACTAGGCACTCTGTGCCCTACAAAACCCTTCTGTGGATATTCTCCGGTACTTATGCAAATAAAAATTACTTTTAGACTTTGGGCATGGGGCGTCTTATACATGGGGGCATCTTATACACAGAAAAACATGGTAAGTCAAATCCAAAACATCTAAAAGGCAGAAGGAGTAAGGACTGCTGCTTCAGAGCAAACAAATATGGGAAGAAAAATCTTTTTGCCATTAGAACCAGGCACTCTGTGCCCTACAAAACCCTTCTATGGATATTCTCCTGCACTTATGCAAATAAAAAATTACTTTTAGACTTTGGGCTGAACTAGACAGGAGAAGAGTCCAGTGCACATCTACTCAGAAATAAACCCCTTTGGAATTTATTGCACAGATGTTGAAAACATTGTACAAATACTGAAAAGAAACCCAGATTGTATTGCCTCCTGGATGACAGATGCTAGAAATTATCAATCTCACAAGGCAGGCAGGGAGTTTAACCCCGTTCTTCATTGCTATCCGATTTCTGAGTAGAATTGATCACTGGAAATGCTATTTTCACTGGAAGAAAGTCCCTCTTTGGTGGGAAGTTCCACGTGGTGGTGCACATCTTATCTTGCACTTGTTGTTCCTGCTTGTTGCTCACTGCTTGAGGCCCCAGTGAGACATCTGTTCATTTCCTTTAATTTCCGCATCCTGTAAGACTGTCTCATGAGTCATTTGCCTCTACTGCATGAATGAATGAATAAGCTTTATTATGGTCACTGATCAGCAGATATATCCAATGTAACTAAAATAACACAAAAATACAATGAAAAGTAGCATAAGTTAGCAATAATAATAACATATGTACACAATCTGTTACAATATAACTAAATTAGATGGAGCTTCCTCAGTTTCACTGGACCGAGGAGTCCAGTAAATAAATTCAGTAAACTCTGTACCAACTCTAGTCTCATTGTCTTAAGTAGTGTAGCACAGGGGTCCCCAACCCCCGGTCCATGACCTGGCAGTGGTCCGCAGCCTAGGCAGGACCGGACCACAGACATAGATCTCCTGCCCCCCAGCAAGCGCGACCCACGCATGTGCGCAAGCGTGACCCATCCCTGAAAGCATGGCACTCCCGTGAGCACAACACCTCCCCTGCGAGCATGACATGTCCCCCGCACATGTGCACGAGCCTGACATACCCCCTGCGAGCGCAACACGGCCCCTTAGAGCGCAACATGCCCCCCCAGAAACGGTCCATGGTTGGGAAAAGGTTGGGGACCACTGGGTAGCATATAGAATATAGGGTGGCCAGTACCTCTACTGCATGAGGTTTGCCTATGTAAATCACTTGTGAAGGTTTTAAAAACTATTAAAACTCCTATTAATCACAACTGTCAGTGTAATGCAATCTATGTCAAGTTCGTTGGCGAGATGCTGTAAATAAGGATGTCAGCATAGGTATATGCTGTTGCATACCACATCAAGTGACTTGGTACAAAATGGCAAACACCTATGCTATCTCTTCATCAGTGAGATCTATGATCATTGTGTTATGCTGATGTAAAGACTCTGTGGGATTTGGCCTATCTGTTTTTCGTAATGTGCAGCATGGTTTACAGAACTATTTGCCATTGGATATAGTACCGTTTAAAGGGGGGGGTAAGCCGTTGTGTCTTTATACATAATCCAATGGCAAGGGTAGATGAATCTTTAATTGACCATTAAAAAAATGAGAAATAAATGCTAGATTTCAGCCAATGCTAGTCTTCCTCAGGTTGGGAATTATTTATCTGTAGAGAAAAAGGAATAGAAAAGCTCCTAAAACATATGGCTAGGTGTCTATGACCAGCTTCAAAATGAGGACTACGAGGTCAAGCCAGGAATGTTGGTTTTCAGTTCCATCTCTGGCAATGTTGACTGAAACATGCCAGATTGCCAGCTGCACAGCATTCTGTGCCTCCCGTCCCCATTGCTTTACATTGAATCGAAAGGTTCCTTTCTTGGCTGGGGATTGGGGTGACACAGAAATGTGGTGAATCTCTTCTCAGAGGCATTGGGCTCAAATGTAGTTGACCTGCTAGGTGAGCCAGTGATAGCCAAAATCATAGTATTATCTGGTATTTGGAGAAGAGATTTTCTTCTATTCGTAGTCCTATTTAGGCAGCGGCCAGTGCCCATGCTTGATTGTAGATGGTGTTCTGATAGCTGTTCAGGATATCCTCCATAATTCAACAAAAGGGGGGAAAATAAAATGTATGTAATCCTTATATGTAATCCAGAGGCAAAGGCAGGTGATACATCTATTCAACCATAAACAAAATCACAGACATTAGGTTTTTGCCTGTACAGGCCTTCATTAGACTGGACAACATTTATCTTTAGATGGTACAGGAAAGATATAATAATTGTTTTAGAATGGCAGAACTGGAAGGATCCTATGGATCATCAAGTGCAAGAGGCACAGTGGAGAATTGAATTCCCAACTTCTTGTTCCACAGCCTAATACCTGTACCACAGAACTATCCAGAAGATTGTTTTTAAAAGGATGTTCCTCACAGTGTTGTTGTTACTGTTTTTAATATGTAAGACTACCTTTTTTTTCAAAGCATCCTTTTCTTTGATTTCTTTTATCAGAACCAGGCAAACCTGAAAATGTTTCACGAACTGAAAGTGCAACCGACATATTAGTGTCTTGGAAGAAGCCAAAAAAGAATGATAATGGCCCTATTGATGGATACAATGTTACAGTCTGTGTTAAGAATAATGGGAACTGTATAGTCAGTAAGTACTTTGTACATGAACTTGCTGGAAAGCATATACCCAGACACGCACCCTGTTTGTTATGGCTGGGAAGAATTTAGCTAATTTGAGGCTGGAATATTGTCTGTTTTCCCATCCTGGTATTTGACCACAATCTTTTAGCTTTTACCTCTGCTGAGTTACCTACATCAAAGGAAAACTGTTGTGGAGTCAAAATTATATCACCACAAGGCATGTTTTGCCTCAAGAAGTTAAAATCCCTGAACTCTTCAAGGATGTCCACTAGCAAAGCAACAGAGAACTGTCTCCATTGTTTTTCTGGTTGCTGTTTTGTACAGCTGCCTAAATTTGTATATTTTATATATTGTTCTGTTTTCTCTATGTAAGCCGCCCCGAGTAGACATGGTCTAGAGGGGCGGGGTAAAAATCCAATAAATAAATAAATAAATAGTTCAGCAACAAACCATTCTTTACTGAGGGCATGATCACACAGAACTTTATGCTAGATTGACATGGACTTCTCGGAAATGCAACTTTGCATTTAAACTGCTATCACCGTTTGTGCTTAAATGTTTATTTTTTCCTGGGAAGGTGTTCCATGTATCCCCACATCATACACCTCCCTATCCCTCTAAATAAATAAATAAATAGTTCAGCAACAAACCATTCTTTACTGAGGGCATGATCACACAGAACTTTATGCTAGATTGACATGGACTTCTCGGAAATGCAACTTTGCATTTAAACTGCTATCACCGTTTGTGCTTAAATGTTTATTTTTTCCTGGGAAGGTGTTCCATGTATCCCCACATCATACACCTCCCTATCCCTCACCTTCTTCTGCCGTGATCACCACCCTCATATCCAACCTCTTCTTTCCAAAACATGTTTAGTAAATGAAATAGTACTGAACTGACATGACACAGTAAGTATTTGAATTAGTGCTCTATCAGTTTAGCACTCTACTGCTAAACTAGGGAAAACATATTTACAAATTGCATTGCACTTGTAGTGTTTACCAATGAATGCAGAAGGCGGATGAAAGGAGTAATGTTCATGCCCCCTCTATGCCCTGCTCTGCACGTTGCCAATGATGTCATCTGGACATGCCCAGAATTGCCCTAATTCACTCGGAAAGTTACACAAACCATGCTGGCCAAACTAAATGCACTGCATGTTCACACCAAAAGACTAGATCTATTCACGATTAATGCTGACATTGTGCAGTGCTTGGAATAAATATTGAAAGGAACAGTGAGAAATGCAAGACAGTCAGTGAGACAAATACACATTTAGCTGTTCCCTGAGCTGGAAGTAAAGAGCAGTCCTGAACCAACTCCATATGAACTAACCGGAGCACTATCTTCCAAGCCCTAAATGGTTTAGCTTATCTGAAAGAGTACTCTAATTTTGTTTCAAGTTTATTGTGAATAACCTGTGCCATGGCACTGCAACAGGGCCTTAGCACATGACTTAACCTGTCTCTTAGACTGAAGCCTTCTCTCTTTGACCCATTATATGTAATGGGGGGTCAGCCTCTACTGGAACAGCCCCATCCCCTAATCTCATTTATCACTGCCCTGGATATTTTTGATGTGACACTTAAGAGTTATGAAACACTCATATATTTGATGATATTAAGTTGTGTCCATTTTGTTTCCCTTTTTTTTAAAAAAAAAAAAATCTGTATGAAAAGAATCTGTTTCCAGTGGAAATAATTCCTTAGTGGTGCCTTATCTGGAGCCTTACACAATGTATACAGTCAACGTATCAGCGTACACAGTCACACAGAGTAAGAAAAATCTTACGGGGGAAATAGACAGTAAAGATGTTCGCACTAAGGCAGCACGTAAGTTACATTATGCTAATATTGTACTCACTTTAAAATTAATCATCCTTTTCCTATTTGATAAGGTGCTGTATATATTTGTATACTATATGAAGTCTATTCTGCATATGAATTGTTCCACACAACATTATCTGTGTATAATAGAGAGTGTTCATTCTTAAAGTTCATGTGTGGCTTTATACGTCTTGGTGTTGCCACTAATAGCAGCCTAGGCAAACAATATTAGGACTATCATTTTTTGTTAGAGATTCTGTTACTTTCAGGTGCACATATTAGGACCGGGAGCTGCTTCAGCAAGAGTTGGTCTTATATATCTGGAGCTCTGTGTAGGATACCAGTTTTGTGGGAAAGATTGGGGTTTGCTGCTGCTCCTGTTGTAAAGCCATTTACAAAATTGCAGCCACTGTACAGTATATGAGGGGCACAGGAATTTGCCTCTAGTGTGGTGTGGTCAGTCGAAAAAACATTCCGTAAGCCATTTATGACAGGAAGGGGAGGTAAAAAAAAAAAGTTGTAACTTTTAGATGGGTTCTTAAATCAGTATCTTAATTAGCAGTGCTTAGAGACAGTGTGGACTTGTTTTGTACCAGATTTCAAGAAGACTGGGTAAGTAGTTTTCAAGATCTAATTTCTGATTTTAAAAGCATTCCTATCTCCCCCATTAATATATCATTTTTAAGCTTAGTGTGAGTTCTGCAGTATTTTTTCAAATGCCTACCACTGCCTCCTTAAACATGGTTCCCATTATAAAGTTTTTTTTTTTAAAAAAATTGAATTTGATTCATCCTGACATTTAGAAGATTTGGTACTTTGAAGATGGTTCTTTTACGTATGGAGATTTTCATACAGTTCTGGCTACACATGCTCACTGAAGAGTTCTGCGGCCATTGCACTAATTTCTTTATGCAGTGGCTACAGAAACTGGAAACGGATTACTTCCCATTGAGGTGAATGAGGCTTTCTTCTGGGGAAGATGATGGATTGAGACTTCAGGTTTGCTGCAGGAATAAAGGTCTTTGAGCAAATAAAGAGACACAGAGAGTAGCCACTGGGTAGTCAGAACAAAAGAGCAGGAAAAGAGGCAAAGAATATTGGGGAGGGGGAGCCAGAGTAGCCAGAGAGCCCACAAATGAGAGAGAGAAGCCACAGAGAAGCAAGAGATTGAGAGAGAGAAGCAAGAGAGAGAAAGAGAGAGAACTTCACAGGGAGGGGTAAAGAGAGAGAGAGAGAATGAGAGGACCCACCCTAGACTAAGTAGAGACAAGGGAGGGAGGGAGAGAAAAGCCATGGAGAGAGACACAAAAAGAGGGAAAGAAAGGATGCAAATAGAGAGAGAAGAGAGAAAATAAAGGCAGACAGGGGGGAAAAGCCATGGAGAGAAGGAAAGGCAAAGCCAGGCGTGTGTCACAAAGGAGACACTGCCCTTTCACACAGAGAAGAGGATGATGGAACATGAGAGAAGAAGACTTGGCAAAGGAAATGAGAGAGGGAAAGAAAGTGGAAGATGAAGGGGGGGGAGGAAAATCTGATTTTCTCCTTTTGCCCAGCAAATGATCACCCCATTGGAATGTGGTTTTGAATGACCTAAACAGCTGGTTGTTCACATTGGCATATAGATCAGTATATCGATCACTGTTGGTACAGTTTGGTTTGAACCAATTGACAGCATCCACACATTCTACTTATAAGGATCCATGCTTCCCCTTGAAGAGCTGTCCCCAGCACAGGGCGAGGGCATGCAATCTTTTTGGCATCACTCTTTGAGATGCAAACTAGCTTTTTGTTTAGCCTTCGCAGATGGGGAGTTTCACCAAAACTATACCGGGGTGGTGTTAACTGAGGAAACAACCCTTTGATGTAGTTGGTGAGTTGTGACATTAAAAGGGAGGGCAAGGAAACCCCCCTCCTCTATTTTTGTCTTCTTCTTTTCACTTCTAACCAGTACTGTGAAATTCTAATACCAAGCTATGTTGATGCATTGCCATTTTGATATACCACTTAGTTTATTTAACAACAACAAAAATGACGTGACCCCAGCTCCCTGAACGCCAGCTGTGAGAAAAGACAGGGAAAGGGGTCCATGTTGACTCTATGGGCATCATCCCCACAAGGCATCACAGTCCAAGCGGAGCCCCAGTGTTTTCCCTTTGTACTGCAGCTATCCTTGGCTGTTGTTACTGCTGCCTCCTTACTCACAAGTAAATCAGGTAAATGTCCTTGCAAGTAAACCAAGTGAACCTGTATGGACCTGTACCATGGGAGAAGAGGGTCCATAGCACAATCTCCAGTGTGGACACAAGGATCACGCATGTGAGAATCAAAAAGTGTCCAGAACTGTACATGGTACTCAAGATAAGTCTAATCAGTGCCAAATAGAAGGGAACGAGTGCTTCTTGTGATCTGGAGACCAGATTTCTATTAACACAGCCTAAAATAGCATTTGCCTCCTTTGCAGTTTACCTCTAGACAAGAGATCATATTAGGACTTTGGTTTTACTGCAGGAATAAGTGTCATTGAACTTGCTCGGGCTTCCTTTTGAGTATGCTGCATGCCAATTGTGTATGGGACACATATTTCCAAAAGCCTTCTGCTCTTAGGTTGACAAAACATAAGTGCCAAAAACACTTCCGCTGCAATCTTGCTGCGTTAGTCTCCTGAGAAGGGAGCCCTGCTGAGGCTTATTTCCAGATATATGTATATGGTTCTGCAGCCTAGAGCTCCAAATCAACTTATTTATTTCAAAGTCCCAACATTGCAATTAAAACCCGAATACTGAGGTTTTAGTTTAGATAAAAACAACTGCTTCTGCACTGCAAGGGTTAAATGCTTGTGTTTTTTATTTTTATTTTTTTTCAATAGGCGGTATTAACAAAGAAATGCTTACTGGTCTACCAATCCCCCATTGGGCTAGATTCGTAATGGTCGCCATTGCACCCCTCCACTTGACCACTGCACCAGCAGAGGGGCGTGTCAAAATCTGGGATTAGAGGATGGCGACTTATGGCTCGCGTGCCCGCAGAGAGGGCTCTGTGTGCCAGCTGTGGCACGCATGCCATAGATTCACCATCACTGCTCTAGGCTATTGCTTCTAGCCAAATACAACAACCCCTGGTAAATGTCCCCAGTTGCTCCCTCCATGACGCAGGCACTCAGTTGCAGGCAACGACTCAAGAGTTTATTAACAGCTTGTGTCGATTGGGAACAAACAAACAAAGGGACAATATAATGAAATGGGAGTCCCTGTGTTAAAGTTGGGAAAGGAGACCGCCATTTCCTTTCTGTCAGACTGTTCGGGAGGTATGAAACCTTTCTTACTGAGCAGGTGAAGAACCCCTTGGAGGTGGTCTAAGCAGGGTTTCCCTCAGCATGGGTAGTATAGCCAAGGTGAGTCACCCCAGAGGTTAGTCCCCATGTCTCCATTCCCTAACTCTACAAGAGATACTATCACTAGCATCCAAGGCAGTGTTACTGGTCGCTCCTTTCTTGCCATTCCCACACTCAAAAAATAATTGTGATAGCTGTTTTGTGTTTGGGTGAGAAGTGGTTTGCTCTCAAAGAAAGGAGTCAGGTTCTAGGATTTGTTATTGTTGTTTTGTGTCTCTTTGTGAATGGTAGTGAAGAGGTTCCTACAGGTGGAAGGAATGGGACTGGCAGCAGCAATGTTTTGGCTTTACATCATCCCTCCCCTCCTCATATGCGTCTCCCTAAGGCAGCCCCAGGATCAAGGGAGAACTTAGGGATCCCTGAAAGCTGGAGAGGAGGCTCTAGGGACTATTTATTTTCCAAAAATGGCTGTGATATGGGTTTGGCTGCAGCTGATAACATCATCCTCATTGCATGACGTAAAGTTGCCCAAGACGTTTTCAGGCAACATAATGTTAGCCCTTATTCTTTTCTTCTGATGCAATCTATTTGGATTTTTCACAGATCCAAAACCGGTGAAAGACCTCAAAGGAATCTTATCAGAGAAAGCGAACAATGATGTAAAAATTACCTGCAGAGAACCAGATCGGTTAAATGGTCCTAGCAAAAGGTTTATCTTGGAGTGGGATGGTGGCAAAATGAATGAAACCACATGTATCTTCAATGTGACAAATCTTCATTACTTAACAACATACAATTTCAAAGTAAGTGGCTTAACTCCTTTTGCCACTAGAGGTCCTTTGTTTTTATCCTGATTTGAAAATTGGCTGTTCAAAACACGTTTATTCACTGTTTTATAGATGTTATGTCACCAGCTTAGTGAGAGAATGGGGATAAAAATAGTGTATACATCCATTCTGTAACTGCAAGCCCATTGCTGTCAGAGTAGCTTATGTTACAAAAGGTGATGACATAGTGATCAGTGAAATACTTCATGTCACTTTGCACCGAATAGTTTCCCTTCAATGGAGAGTGGATGGCTATTGCCTTCCATTCTTCCTTACCACTTTCATTCAATGCAGATAAGACACCTTTGAAATGACCACATCTTGAGAGCCCTTTTACACAGCAGAGATAAACAGGGACATGCCTCAGAGGACTCCCCCCCCCCCCCCCCGAC